TCTCAAGCTACTAGGATTACAGGCATGCACCACTGTACCCAGCATCTTATTAAGTACTGAATACTAAAGAATAATCATTAAATGTGTAAGACTTGTAATAATGATAATTTTAAAAGTCTGCTCACCCATTACTGAATCTAAGAAACAAATCATCACCAGTACCTGTGCAGGCTCTGAATGATGCTCTCCTGCTATTGATTAGCTCTACAATCACTAATACAAAATGAACCCTCCACTGTCAAGGTCCACAAGGAGAGGGTGTGAAAGGCACACAATCTACCCCCACAATATGAAGAAACGTTCAATTTGGGTAAGAAGTGGCTAATTTAATAATTGAATTAGTTTCGCACAGAAATAAGACAAGACTTGACTTTAACACAGGATTCAGATGAATCTCTTCCAAGAGATATTTTTTAATCTTTGCAGGATTTCTTTTACATATTTAGCCTTGGTATAGTGAGTACCATTTCTTTGTACATTGCCAATGTGAAGAAATAGGGTTCAGGGGAAAATGCCTTTATTCCAGAGGCTTTTGAGAGCTTAACATATGTATAATGCCCTTATGATTTCTTATGAACCCACTCTACTCAGTATAACTATGATAGAATCCCACTTAAAAAACAAAACAAAAAAACCTTTTGGGGCTGGGAGTAAGTCAGTGGTAGAGTGCTTGCCTAGTTGTGCACAAGGCACCGTTTGTTCCTAGTACCACACACACACAAAAATTAAACTCCTCTTAATATTTCTTTTTTTTAATATCTTTATTTTATTTTTACGTGGTGCTGAGAATTGAACCCAGTGCCTTACGCATGCTAGGCGAGTGCGCTACCACTTGAGCCACATCCCCAGCCCTCCTCTTAATATTTCTAGTTGCATTACAGATTTCTGGATATATTAATTAGCTTGACTGTGATAATCATTTATCATTTCACAATGTATGTTGAATCATCACATTGAATACTGTTATGGTTTGGATGTGAGGTGTCCCCCAAAAGCTCAATTGTGAGATAATACAAGAAGGTTCAGAGAAGAAATAATTGGGTTATGTAAGTCTCAACCCAATCAGTAAATTAATCACCTGATGGGATTAATTGAGTGGTAACTAAAGGCAGGTGAGATGTGGGTGGAGGCAGTAAGGGGTTGGGGGTGTGGCTCTAAGGTATATATTTTGTATCTGGGAGGGGAGTCTCTCTCTCCACTTTCTAATCATCATGTGAGCTGCTTCCTTCTGCCACTCTTTTTCAACATTATGTTCAGCCTCACCTGGAGCCCCCTGGAATAGAGCTGGCTATATATGGACTGAGAACTCTGAAACCATGAGCCCTCAAATAATCTTTTTATCCTCTACAGTTGTTCTGCTTGGGTCTTCCAGTCGCAGTAATGAAAAAACTGACTAAAACAAATATCCATGTCGGTACAACTTAAATATATGATTTTTGTTTGTCAATTATACCTCAATAAAGTTGAGGAAAAAAGATTTCTGGAAGACTATTTTAAAATGTTAATACCACTTACCTCTGGGATGAGAGACTAGAAGGCATTTTTATTTTTCACTCCCATCCTGTAGTTTTTTTTTTTTTAACAGTTGCCTATAATATTATATTTAAAATAAAAAATAGGGGGCTGAGGCTGTAGCTCAGTGGTAAAGTGCTTGCCTCGCACGTGTGAGGCACTGGGTTCAATCCCCAGCACCATATAAAAATAAAGATACTGTGTGTTCATCTACAACTAAGTATTTTTAAAAATAAAATAAAAAATAGGGCTGCAAGCTGGGCATGGTGGTGCATGCCTGTAATCCCAGTGGCTCGGGAGGCTGAGGCAGGAGGATCATGAGTTCAAAGCCAGCCTTAGCAATGATGAAGCGCTTCGCCATTCGGTGAGACCCTGTCTCTAAATAAAATACAAAATAGGGCTGGGGATGTGGCTCAGTGGTTGAGTGCCCCTGAGTTCCATCCCTGGTTCTGTCCCCCCCCCCCAAAAAAAGGGCTACAAAAAATAATAACCTGGAGATTAAGGCAGGAGGATTGAGAGTTCAAAGCCAGCCCCAGCAACTCAGCCCAAAGCAAATTAGTGAGACCCTATCTCTAAGTAAAATAAAAAAAGGGCTGAGGATGTTACTCAATGGTTGAATGCCCCTCGGTTGAAATCCCCAGTACCCCCCCCCCCAAAAAAAAATCCAGTTCCGGTGGGAGAGGAGACAGGTTCGCTAGTGCTATTTAGTTGCAGCATACAGAGGTGTGGGCTTGGGGCACTTTGCTAAGAAGAGTCAGGGGTGGGGGACAGGGCTGCATGTGGTTAACTACTTGGTACTGGTGAATTGGGCTCTGTAAAAGGTGTAATAGGAGTTGGGCACTGCACCATCTGCCTGTAGGAGCACACTGAACTAGGAAAAGAAGCCCCTTCCTCAGCGGTATCCCACTACTGACAAGGCTTTACACTGAGCCTGCTGTTAGGACAAGTTTTAGAGGGTCTTGCAGGACCAGCAATGAAGGCTGATAACTTGATTAACTGGTGTAAGTCAGTAAGAGTGTGGATGGAAAAGAACCTAAATTTCTGTCTCCTTGAGTACACACTCCAGCCCACTCTGACTTCCTGCATCCTTTTACTGTGCTCACATGGAAAAAAAATCCCTTACCCTTTTGAGACAGGGTCTCAGTGTTGCCTAAGCCAGACTTGAACTCATGAGCTCAAAAGGATTTTCTCACCTTTACCATCTAAGTAGCTGGGACTACAGGTATGTGCCACTGTGCTGGGCTTGCAAAATCCCCTATATTTTCAACCTCTTTTCCCAAACATTCCCTGCACCTTCTTGATCTAACTTCTTATTTTCAGGCTTTTTTTCTTTTTTTACCATGACCCACAATTAGAAATATATTTTACATCAAAACACACACATAGAGCTGGGGTTGTGGCTCAGCAGTAGAGTGCTCGCCTAGCATGTGTGAGGCGCTGGGTTCGATCCTCAGCACCACACATAAAGATAAATAAAAGTATTGTGTCCAACTAAAAAAAAAATGTCAAAAAAATTAAAAAACATACATGAATACAAGTGTCATGTAAATAACTTACTAAAACAAAGCTATGTCAAGTATTTTATTAATATCCAGAAATACACAAGAATTATAATTATAAAAATACAGAAATACATATTTCCTTGAAAGAGTTTGTTTTATGTTCTGATAAATGTTCTTTCATCCTTATGTTGTCTCCCACCAGGCTTTTATCTCCTCCATTCCATTGTCATAGCTGTTTTGAGCATCGTGAATGACTTCCACACTGCTGGATTAGTGAACATTCCTATCTTCATCTTGTTAGCAGCATGGAACTGATCTATTGGTGGCTTTGAGATAGCCTGTTACCCCCTCCCCTTCCTCCTCAAAACACTTTTTTCCACTGGCTTCCAGGACATGGCTCTTGGCTTTCTGGAACCTCCCTCATTGAGAGCTTCATCTCAGTCTCCTTTGTTGTTTTTCTTCTATCTGATCTAACCCTAGGGGTATCCCAGGGTTCTCTGACATCTCTGAACCCAGAGGCATTCTACCACTGAAGTACATCCCAGACCTTTTTATTTTTTGAGACTGGGTCTTGCTAAGTTGCCCAGGCTAGCTTTGACCTTGTGATCCTCCTACTTAACTAAACCTCTGGAGTTGCTGGCATTACAAGTATGTGCCACTGTGCCCAGTTCATCCTCTCAACTTAAAAATACTTCCTCAGTTATCTCAACCAGTTGAATGGCTTTAAAATTTTCTGTCTACACCAATTTCTACACTTCCATCTCTAGCCAAGACCTATTCTCTGACGTCTCCCCACCCCTGAGAACTGGGGATTGAACCCAGGGTCTCACACATGCTAGGCAAATGCTCTACCACTGAGCTACACCCTTATCCCCCTCCACTCATACTAATGGGAATCACAAATGTCACATCTCTAAAATCTAAGTCCTATTCTTCCCCTCCACAAAAAGTCCTTTCACAGGCTTCCTTCACACTAAACCTTCTCCTCCCAGTTGTTTAGCCCAAACCCTTAGTGTCACTGGAGTCATCCCTGACTCCTCTTTCATATTCTGCATCTAACCTACTAACAAATCCTGGTGACCGCACTTGGAAAACACACTCAGATCCAACATTACCCACTGGTCCGAACTAGCCTACTTCCTTCTTTGGCGCCTGTAGTGTTTTCAACATGTAGCTGGAAGGCTTTCTATAGTCAGAGCATACTATACCTCTAGTTCAAAATCTTCCACTGGCTCCCAGATCAAAGTAAATGCTGAAAACCTTACAATGGCTTACACATGGCCTGACCCTTTGCTACTTCTGTTCCTCTACCTCCCAAATCTCTTCTTTCCCTCTCCCTCTTGGCTTCCTTGCTGTTCCCTGAACATTCCATACCCACTCTTGTGCAAGGCCTCTGCACTTGTCATTTCCTTTTCCTGGAAGATTCTTTCTTGCTTTGGTTTGGATATGGTTTGAGCATGTTCCTTCAAGGGTTCATATGTTAAAATGTAATCCTCATTGTGTGGTATTAAGAGTAGAAACTCTTTCTGACTCCAGTGTTTAGAAATGGAGCCTTTTGAGGGCTGGGGATATAGCTCAGTTGGTAGAGTGCTTGCCTTGCATGCTTGCCTTGCATGGGTTCAATATCCCTAGTGCGTGCGCGCGCGCACGCACACACACACACACACACACACACACATACACACACAAAGAAAGAAATGGAGCCTTTAGGAGGTGATTAGGAATTGATAAGGTAGAGGCCCCATGACTGAACCTGGTAGCTTCATAAGGAGATAGACCAAAAAACCTATGCATGTGCTCCCATTTCTTGCAATATGATGTCCTTCTCATGTTTCCTAACCTTGGATTATCAGTAGGAGTGTTTTACAATTGTTCCTTCTTTACAATATTACCCTTTATACAAGTAAACCTGAGTAGTTTTCTTTCCACATCTTTAGACACAGACTCCACTTCATTGTATACATTCCAAAGAAAAATATTCATATGTTCAGGGTTTCAAATTTTTTCATTTATTTTTAAAGGCAGTAATAAAAAGCTTAATATACTAAGAAAGTTACAATTATACAAATGCGCTCAATAACAATTTGACAGATTGACCTTAATGCACTGAACATGACCTTGAGTTTTTTAATTACTTACATTCCCATTGTTCAGTCCCTTAAACTGATTATTCCCTAAAAACACCTTGCTGGTTATTTAGGCATAGAACACACACAGGGGAAAATGCAGATGATGGTGTCACCCAACCAAGTGTCTGTGAAGATAATCCATGAAGATAAGGGTGAGACTTTTGTTCATATCAACCAAGGAACATCAAAATACCATTCTCCTTGGGAGAAAGTTGAACCTGAATTTGAAAGAAAAAAATAAATAAAGGCTAGGTCCAATTACAAAATATAAAACCTTATAAAATCATAAAGAAATGAGAAAATATAAAGTAATACACTCATCAAACTAGAATAAAAATATAACACTTTTGTATAGAACACAAAAAATAAAAATATGCCAGTGTAAAGACTTAATAATAATTAAAAAAAAAATTAAGGAATACTGGTATATTATTGGTCCTACTAGAATTAAAAATATTATAAAACAATTATTAAAACTGTGTTAAGGGGCTGGGATTGTGGCTCAGTGATACAGTGCTTGCCTAGCATGTGTGAGGCACTGGGTTTGATCCTCAGCACTGAATATAAATAGATGAATAGAATAAAGGTCCATCAACATCTAAAATCTTTTAAAAAAAAAACCCATGTGTTAAAAATTTTAAATGATTACAACAGCAAAACTTTTTTCCCACAACTTCTCTTAACCATAGTATACTAATAACTAGAAAGTAAACCTAACCACCTAGAAATTATAACATTAAATGTTTTTAGGTTGAAAACAAAACTCAATTTAAGAATCACAAATCAGTCATGGTGTATATACCTGTAATCCCACCTACTCAGGAAGATAAAATAGAAGGATCCAAATTTCAAGGCCACCCTGGGCAACTTGGCAAGTCTCTATCTCAGTGGGGTAGAGCACCCCTGGTTTCAATCCCAGTGATGCCAAAAGAAAAAGAAAGAAAAGAGTGGAGAACTGATATATTTAAGGATAAAAGAGTCTTATCAGGCTAGTTCATTCAACAGAGGACTACATAATACAATATTTTGTGATAAAATCTGAACCACTAGCATGGTACTTGAAGTACCAGCTACTTGTGAGGCTGAGGAAGGACCAGTGCTTAAGCCCAGGAGTTTGAGATCCAACCTGGGCAAGAATAAGACCCTGTTTTAAAACAAAACAAAAACTGAACCATCCCATTTTGCGATTGTTGAAAAAAATGCTCTCTCTTTTTTTTTTAATCTTTTATGATTGTCTACAACAAGTGTACTTGCTAGGCTTGTGGATGTAGCTCAGTAGTACAGTGCTTGCCTAGTACATGTGTACACTCCATCCTCGGCACTACAGAAAGAAAGGAAGAAAGGAAGGAAGAAAGGGAGAAAGATATTGTGTTCATCTATAACTAAAAAAAAAAAGTGTACTTGCTAAAGTCTATAGAAGTATATATAAAGTAATTGGGAGCATAAGATGAAAAATTCTTAATCTCCTGAGACTTGTGATCTCTTTTAAGGAACCCACTGATGAACATATGTGGACAAAATAATTGGAAGGTAAAAATATAGAAATAAAAACAATATTTGGACTGATCATTCTATTGGTACTTATGAATGTAAAAATGTTTTGCTGCTATGGAACAAAGATAGTTTTTAAAATTTTTTCAGTGCTGGGGATTGAACCCCAGAGCCTTATGCAATATTAGACAAGTGCTCTACCACTGAGCCACATCCCCAGGTCTGGCCTCATTTTCATCATCCATCAATACACATAATCTTGTTTTGTGTATATTTTTTGTTGTTGTTGTTTTTATAAGAGTGAAAACAGTATGTTTTTTTCTTTCAAGTGTGAAGAACAGAAATGGAACTCCAGCAGGGGAAAGAGGGAACCCTATTTAGCAGGTTGCCCGTTATGTGTATTTTGTTTAAAAAGACACAGTATTTAACAAATATTATGATTCATTAACATTGAACTCACTCCTCACAGCAATATAACTCATGCCCAAATGAAGTTCTAAACAAAGTTATTTAATGCATGTATTTCCTCTGTAAAACACATCACAGAGGGGTGTGTTTTGCACCTAGGGGTAGAAGACAACACTTAAGCACAATGCATGCAGGCCATTTTAAACAGAAAACTCACAAAGAGAAGCCACAAACAATGAGAAACATGTGGTACTAAATAAAATGTTTTTGAAAGGGACACTTGTTTATAGCATAGGAGCTAAAATAAGAAAACAGAGCATGTTCAACCCCAATCAGGAACCTCTGTTGGGTACTCAAAGCGTTTTGTCTTCTGAGCATGTCCACAATGTCATGAGTATTGACTTTGGGGTTAAAAATAAATTTGAGCAAGTGGACAGATAAGCAAATACAGCATCCACAAATAATGAGGTTCAACTGTTAACCAGTTTTATAAGCAGCCTGGTACTGTGGTGCACACCTGTAATCCCAGGGACTTGGGAGACTGAGGCAGGAGGAATACAAGTTGAGGCTAGCTTCAGCAATTTAATGAGACCTTGCCTCAAAACAGAGCTGGGGATGAAGCTCAGTGGTAGAGCCCTTGTCTAGTATATGCCAGCCCTGTGTTTGGTTCCTGGCAATACACACACACACACACACACTTAAAAAGAGTAAACATAAATATCTGAAATAATTGGGAAAATAAACACCGAGAAAAAATTTAACATAGCTCTCAAACACATAAACAAAATACTAAACCTCACAATAAGATAAATTTAAAAATTATAAATACTATGAAATGACCAATTTCAACTATTAGATTAACAAAGATAGGGAGACTGAGGCAGGAGGATTGCAAGTTCAAGGCCAGCCTTAGCAATTTATTAAGATCTTAAGCAACTTAGTAAGACCCTGTCTCAAAATAAAAAATAAAAAGGGCTTAGTGATAAATCACCTCTGCCAAAAAAATCCCCAGTGCCAAAAATATAAAAAATAAAATTAAAAACAGACTGACAAAGATCCAGAGGTTTAGTAAACTATTGGTTAGATTGTGGGAAACAGAACTCTCAATGCTCGTGGAAATTTACACTAATACAACCTCTACTCTGAGTAATTTGTCAAAAATTTATTAAAATGCTAAGTGCATATCCAGTAGTTATACTTCTCGGTACTTAATCCTAAAGCTGTATTCATTCCTACAAAAGAACTATGTAATAAGAATATTGACTGTCATATTAAATATTAAATGACTGGAAACAACCTCAACTCTTTTTTCATTCTACATCCTCAGCCTCAACCTAAACTTTCATCTACAAAAGCTCAATTAAATGCTATATGCATCTCCACATAAGAACATCCTGCACTATTTAAAAGAATGAGAAGGTTTTACATAGTGATATGGAGGGCTCTCTAAGATATATTGAGGGAAAAGTACTTACCTATTAAAGAATACTGTATGAGTTACCTATAAAAATAAAAAAATTAAAGTTTAAAGGGAGAATAATATATCATACTAGATTTATTTTAATTATATATTTTTTATTTCAGATAGATTTTTTTTAAAAAAACTTATCTTGGGACACAAATTTAAAAAACACTATGGAAAATCTCCCTCATGTCCCTGTGTCTTCTATATCTCCAGAGGTAATTCAAGTACTGCCCGGGCATAATTAACATATATACATACAAACACATAAATATATATTTACACAAATAGCAGATTAACATAATACAATAGTTCTGCCTCTTGCTTTTTTCACTTAAATGTAGGTAGACCTTCCTATTAGACTATTTTATAGACAGCAAAGCAACAATATTCCTTTTTTTTTTTTGGTGCTGGGGATTGAACCCAGGGCCTTGTGCATATGAAGCAAGCACTCTACCAACTGAGCTATATCCCCATACCAACAATATTACTTCTTAAAAAACAATTAAAAAGTATAACAAATTGTTAAACAACAATCTAACAAAAGTAAATTGAAAGAATATACTGAATAATGTTCAAAAACAGACTCAAACTATTTTAGAACTTTTATAAACAAGAACTGAAAGACTACTTAAAATAATACAGGAAAGACTACAGTAATTAGGTAAGTGCACAGAATGAAGACTTTACTAACTGTTCTTTTTAGAGAAGCAATATGACAACATGACGTTTAGAATTACTTAGAATCTAGGAACCCATATACAAAATTAATAAATATATAAAATCACTTCCATGATACCTGTAAGCAAAAGAGTTCAAAATAGATTTTCTTTTTTGGGTCCTTGGGATTGAACCCAGCATGCTCTACCACTGAACTACATCTCCAGCCCGTTTCATTTTCTATTTAGAGACAGGATCTTGCTAAGTTGCCAGGGCTAGCCTTGAAACTATGACCTCCAACCTCAGCCTCCAGAGCTGCTAGGATTATAGGCATATGCCATTGCACCCAGACCAAAATAGATTATAGCCATGTAGGAATATGTATCAGTAATCTCAAACTTTACATCTAAACCTATGTACTTGGGATTTATATGGTATCATTGCGTAGTACATTTTGTTTTAACCATCACAACAAACTCATCTTTCTAAAAACATGAAACAACTGAAAATTATTCTATTCTTCAGGGGGATATAGCTCAGTGCAGAGCACTTGCCTAGCATGTGCAAGGCCCTTGGTTCCATTCCCAGCATCAGAAGGAAAAAAAAAAAAAAAAAGGAGTAGGAAAAACAGGAGAAGGAAGAAAGGAAGGAAATTGTTCTAAAATGGGAAAGATGATAATGATTTGCGTCATCCAGCCAAATATTCATGAAAAAAATTATGAAACATTTGTTAAAACCAATTAGTCTTTTTAAAAATATTTTTAGTTGTAGATGGACATAATACCTTTATTTTATTTATTTATAGGTGGTGCTTAGAATTGAACCCACTGCCTCACACGTGCTAGGAAAGGACTCTACCACTTAGCTACAACCCCAGCCCTAAAACCAACTAGTCTTTAGAAAAAGTGAGTAGCTGGAGGTGGACTTGTCTTCCCACTAAAGACTACAAAACTGGGCATAACATATACCACTATTTCCAGGTACTAAGTAACAAATGGTGCAGGGCTGAGATCTTTGAGAAACAGAGAAACCTTTGACATGGACTTAGCATTCACCTTTTTTGGCTGGTTATGGTTCCCAGACTAGGTGCCTATATATAAGTGGAGCTTGAGATTTCTGATATTCCTGAATAGAATTCAGTTCTCCAGTTCAGGCCTTGGACTAAGGCAGCTAGACTCTGAGCAAGCAAGGTGCAGAGAGTAGGAACTTGAAGAGAAAATGCTGTAGAAATGTTGGAAGGTTTCCACTTAGATCCTTGCCGAATTCTCAATTGTATGTATATAGGACATGTTTCTACAGGGCATGGCACAAGCAGTTTCTGGGGAGCCAGGTGCATTGCAAGTTCAAAGTCATCCTTAGGAAGGCTCAATCTCAAAATTAAAAAAAAAAAAAAATCTAAAAAGAGCTGGGAATGTGGCTCAGAGGTTAAGTGCCCCTGGGCTCAATCTCAGTACCAAAAAAAAAAGCAGTTGTTGGGAGCTGACAGTTGGAGAGTTCAGAGGTAATATACAGAGTTCCATGACCTATGGAACTACTATGTGGTCCAATGCAACTCATTTTACTGCTGTGAATATGTTTTCTCATCTGTAAAATGGGAAAATAGCATCTAATTTTATGGATACTATAAAGATTAAACAAAATAACTATGCACATCATACAGAAATCAAAGTAAAGCTAATATGATTACTTATAAAGGTAAAAAATTTTTCATGTGGTAGTTTTCAGTTTCCTTTGCAACAAAACCCAAATCCACTAAAATATATCTGAGTCTACAGAAACTAATATTTATAAAATAAGGTTTCATTTGTTCTTAATTAAAAATCTTTATTGAAACATAAAGACTCATTAATGCTTAGGTATACTGCTTCACATTTCTCATTTTTTATCCAGTAACCAAGGACTTTTTATTTAAAAGAGAAAATATAGCCTAACCCTAAATCACATGCCATTTTTAAATGTAAAGGTCAATTTGTGTACTACAATCATATGAAAAGTTTAAGATTACAAAGAATCATGAATGCTTTACCAAAGCTTTTCTAAATATATTACCTAATATCTTTAAAATGTACTACATAAGATGGGTGCAGTGGCACACACCTGTAATCCCAGTTACTCAGGAAAACTAAGGAAGAAGAATCAGAACTCTGAGGCCAGCCTGGGCAACTTAAAACACCTTGTCTCAAAAGTTTTAAAGAGGGCTGAAAGGAGCTCAGTGGTAGAGAGCTTGCCCTACATGTGTGAGGCCTGGGTTTAATCCCCAGAACAGAAGAACAAACAAGAAAACGAAAACATATGCTGCATGCATTATCTCAGAAAGCAGGTAAACTCACACACCTTAAAAAAAAAAATTGTGTGAGAGTGCATACTGTATGATTCCATTAATGAAGTTCTAAAATAGACTTATTTTTTGCTCAGGAGTCAGAACGGTGAGGGGCAAGTGTGATGAAAGGTGCACAAAGAAATGTCCTGGGTTGAAGGAATGTTCTTTCAATACTGATTCAGCTTGATGTAAATCCTTACATTTTATCATATAAATATTATACCTCAAAAAAAGTACTAGAGCCAGGGTTGGTGGCACACACCCGTAAACCCAGCAGCTCCGAAGGCTGAGGCAGAAGGATCTAGTTCAAAACAAGCCTCAGCAACTTAGCGAATCCCTAAGCAATTCAGTGAGACCCTGTCTCTAAATAAAATACAAATAAGGACAGGGGATGTGGCTCAGTGGTTGATTGCCCCTGGGTTCAATCCCTAGTACCAAAAAAAAAAAAAAGTACTGGAAAAAAAGTTGAGTACTTTCTTCAAATTATTAATTCTTTTGAAGGCCATGATTCATACAGAAAAATTATTTAATGCCCAGTACTTGCTAAGATAACCAAATATTGAATGTCTTTTGTTTTCTATATGTAAAACATGGACTTCATAGTAGTAGGAGTTGCTCTTCTTAACTTTCAGAATTTGATTTCTAAACTAAATATATTATTTTCCCATTTACCAGGAGCTTCAAGCACAAGACTGAAGTTCATAAAAACAAAACATTAACCTGTAGTTTCTTTCTGCTAAGAGTAACCAAGCAAAAAATCTAAACTTAACAACATGACTCAGATACTAAGTAATCTCTGGATGATCCCTTAAGGAGATAGGGCACCTATGCACATCTCTTCTGAATGTAGGTATTGCTGTAATAGCTCGGCTTTGATTTCATTGTTAGGATTATTCTAGATGTGTGGTTGGTGGTTTTGCTGTTTTCTGTCTGTACTAATGGGGGAAGCTGCTTCATTATTCTATATTTAAGTTAAGGTAAATATTATTTAAAAATAACTCTAGGTTAAACACTATTACGATTAACTCAACTTTCAAAACCATTCACCTAACAAAGGATTTATCAGAAGAAATACCTTCAGCTGGATGCGGTGGTACCCACTTGTAATCCCAGCAAATCAGAAGGCTGAGGCAGGAGAATTTAAATTCAAAGCTAGCCTCAACAACTTAGCAAGGCCCTAAGCAATTTAGCAAGACACTGCCTCAAAATTAAAATAAAAATAATAATGATAATAAAATGGGCTGGGAGGGTTTAATCCCTGGCATCATTTTAAAAAACTGTTCAATCTAGCAAGAATGCATGCTCAACTTCTTCATGATAAACAAAGATCGATCTGAAAACAATTCTGAAATTTCTCTTTTATTTACCATTTTCTCTTTCTTGACATTCCTTCTAGTCTAGGCTTGAAACCTTTCCTAATTTCAAAACTTGCCAGATATTGTAGGTACAATGAAGAATAGAATATAGCTTTCTATAGAGGAAAGGCACATATGTAATCAAGAAAAATTATGTGGCCGGTGAGGTGGCACACGCCTGTAATTCCAGCAGCTCGGGAGGCTGAGGCAGGAGGAGCGCAAGTTCAAAGCCAGCCTCAGCAAAAGTGAGGAGCTAAGCAACTCAGTGAGACCCTGTCTCTAAATAAAATACAAAGTAGGGCTTGGGATGTGTCTCAGTGGTCAAGTTCAATCCTTGGTACCCCGCCCCCACCAAAAAAAAGAAAGATTCTGTGGAAAGCTATGTAATTAAAAAAATATTTTTTTTTCTTTTTTTTTTTTTTAAGCTGATTCAAAGAGAGTGAATTACATGGATGGGGACTAGTAGGTAAGATGGTTGGGTGGCATTAGGAATAGAGATTCAAGCCAGGTGCAGAGACACACACCTGTAATCCCAGTGACTAGAGCTGAGGCAGGGAGAATCATGAATTCAAGGATAGCGTCAGCAATTTAGCAAGCCCCTGTCTCAAAATAAAAAATAAAATGAGCTAGGGATGTAACTCAGTGATAGAGGGAACCTGAGTTTAATACAGAATTAAAAAAAGAAAAAAAAATGGAATAGAGATACATTTGAACTACCCTAGGCCTCTAAACACACTATGCCCTGAAACTTCTGGCTTTGCACATTTACATGGAATGGTCTAAACTCATTTCATACGCAGCTAATTTTTCTATTTACCCTTTCAGATTTGGTGAATAACCTAGGTAAAGAACTCCAATTGAAGGTTGGGGTCATAGCTCAGTGGTGGAGTGCTTGCCTACGTGTGAGGCACTGGGTTCGATTCTCAACACCGTATATAAATAAATAAAAGCAGGGCTGGGATTGTGGCTCATCAATAGAATGCTCGCCCAGCATGTGCGGGGGCCCTGGGTTTGATCCTCTTCAGCACCACATAAAAATAAATGAATGGAACAAAGGTATTGTATTGGGCTGGGGATATAGCTCAGTTGGTAGAGTGCCTGCCTTGCACGCACAAGGCCCTGTGTTCAATCCCCAGTATCAAACACAGACACACGCACACACAAAAGTATTGTGTCCAACTACAACTAAAAAATAAATATTTTAAAAAATAAATAAAAGTCCATTGACAACTAAAAAAATATTTTAAAAAAAGAACTTCAAAAAAGGAGATTAGGGAGGGAAAAGTTAGGGAAAAAAGAAGATTGGGAAATAGAAAAAAAGTGGGGGACTGTTGGAAACTCCTGAGAGAAACAAAGAAGAAAGTCATTTTTGTTTCTGATGAGAGAAAAGAAGAAAAATGCAGATGTCAAGGTGTGTTTTAAAATACGGGCCTTGCTTATGCTGAGGAGGAGGGTGGAAATGAGGAGCTGGAGGCTTGAAGTTGGAAATAAGGAGAGGGTGCTTGGAAATCAGGTCACCCAGCAGGAGCCCAGCACAAAGATCAAAGTGTGTGGGATGCCTAGTAGAAGGTCTGACAAAGAAGAAAGGGATGGGACCTAGGTAGAGGCTACAGGAGCCACCTGAATTGGTTCTATAGTATTCTTTTGTGCTGAGCAGCCTCTGAAGGTCAAGGTCTTCACAGCCAGCCCTCTTCCGATTTAAAAAACCCACCATTCTGAAGCCAGCCTCTGTGTGATACAATATTGTCCCTACAGTTGCCACAGAACTATTGTTTCTTCAAGTAGGAATGTGGTTTCTCTTGAACAGCACAATCTTCTTTCTCTAAAACAAAATAAAAAATCCACCACCAACAATAACAAAAACCAAAATCAAAAAAAAAAAAAAAAAAAACTTCAATTGAATTAAGACAACTTTAACTAAAAAATGAAATATGGTAATTACTTTTTAAAAATTTCTTTTGTTGTTTTGCATTGTTGGCAATACACGTTTAAATATTATCATTTATATTATTTAAAAAGCACTCCTCCTAGGACTACATCTCACATTCTGAAAAACAAAAAAGAAAATATGATCTTCAAAAATTTGATTTTCAGGGCTAGGGCTGTGGATCAAGCAGTAACGCGCTTGCCTGGCATGCGCGGGGCGCTGGGTTTGATCCTCAGCACCACATAAAAATAAAATAAAGATGTTGTGTCCACCGAAAACTGAAAAACATTAAAAAATTCTCTCTCTCTCTCCTCTCTATCTTTAAAAAAAAAATTGATTTTCAAAGAAACATGAAAGTATCTACCAAGAATCAACATACCCACAATCTCTTACCAATGTCACAAAACAGAAAAATTTATCCTGAGACTAAGACAAAATAGAATCAAATTACTATATACATGAAGGTGTTTACTGTAACGCTATTCAAAATGGAAAAATCTACTGCATAAAGGAATAGTGGCATATTAAGTAGGCAAAGACATGCAAAATGTGACTTAGGACAGACAGACACACATGCAAGTGTGTATGCCAAATGCTACGATGACATCCAGTATAAAAGTATAAAACGGGGCTCAGTAGTATAGCATTTGTAGATCCTAAGTGAAGCACTAGTTTGATCCCCAATACCATACACACACACACAAAAAAAACCCAGACAGTGTACAATAATATGTAAAAAAGGAATACAATGACATACACAGCTAATTTTTGCTGATTTAAAAAAATTAAATATATTTATTATATACTTTTAAACATACAAAAAATAGGAAAATAGTACAGTGCATATTCATATACATACCAGTTAGATTAACATTTTCCATATACCTTCCACAAACACACTTGGTGAAACCATTTAAAAATATTTTAGAGCCATTATAATATTTCATTCCAGAATGCTTCAGTGTACTAATTTAAAAAATCACTCTATAAACAAGTTTTATTACACCTCACAAAATCAGAAATGATCTAATATTTAAAATCCAATCCATATTCAAAATTTCCTCAATGCCCCCAACTCAAGGTTTTTACAAATGGCTTTTCTCGTCAGAGTCTGTTCAAGGCTATTAACACTGGGAACTAGAGACAAAGCTCAGTAGTACAGTGGGTGCTTGGCTTGCACAGGTTTTAATCACTAGTACCAGAAGAGATTTCACATTACGTTGGTCTGTTATGTCTCTGAAGTAACTTTTAATCAAGAATAGTTACCCAAACCATCTCTTTTTTTTCTTTCTGATATTTTGAAGAAACAAAACCAATTATCTTCTATAACATTTCATATTCTAAAACCTGTTTCACAGTGTTTTCATTAATGTCTTTGAATTTATTGTTCTATTTCCAATATTCCCTGCAAAATGGGAAATAGACCTAAAGGCTTGATTAGATTTCAGTTAAACTTTTTTGACAAAGAAAGTTCATAGATAATGCAGTACACTTTATACTACATCACAAATTAAAAAGCTGCCTGGCTATTCAACCGATGCTGGTCATGCAAAGTAATCCTTAGGATTTTTTTTTGGGGGGGAGGGATAAATTACATTTTGTCTACATGACCAACCAGCAAGTATTTGGTGAGATGATATTCTGACATCAAGATTATTCTAGTGGGGATATAGATAAAAATTTTTTCTGGGGGTGAGGGGCACATATTAGGACACTCAACCAGAGTCACATTCCCAGCCCTATTTTGTATTTTATTTAGAGTAGCTCAGCACCTCGATTTTTGCTGAGTCTGGCTTGAATATGCAATCCTTCTGCTTCCTGCCTCCGCCTCCTGAGCCGCTGGGATTACAAGCATGCACCAGCCCAAATTTTTATCTAATAGTTTTGGCATTAAAATATCTTTAACTTTCCAACTTTTTAATATTTCAATTTTTAGAAATATTTAAAAAGCATTGGTTTTCCACAAATCAGAAAATTTATACAAAAATAAAATTCATTTTTATAATGATGGCAGACTTACTCCTTAATTGAAATGTGAGCACCTCCCTTCTTTTTGATTTTGTCTGAAACCCTGTAAGAAAAGCAAAATAAAGGAAGTTAAAAGAATAGCATACACATTTATTTGTATTTATTTATATTTTTAGCATATTTTTATATAGATGTTAAGAAAGTTTCATTTTATTAATTTTATTTAACAAAATATCATCATAAAATAAATTTATTGGCTTCCAACATGTTTTCAAAGTGATTGATTCCAAAGTAAAATATTAAGTTGGAATTAAACATTTTTTATTTTAACAAGGCCAATTATATTCCTAAGGTCCCTTACACTTTCTAAGAAGTAAAAGGTACAGTGTAATCCACCCATTTGTTAATATAAAACTGGGATGTGGGTATAGGTCCTGGGATAAGTCCACAGCATCACAAAAAAAAAAAGAAAGAAAGAAAAAATAAATAAAACCAGCACTCAATAAAAATGTAAAAGATAAAACAAAATAAAAAAAATCAATACTCATTTACTGTTTCTCCTCATCAGATCTAGCCCAAATGTCTTAGGTATCCTTCTTTCTGGGTTTCAATGCCTTTTATCTTTCCCTACATCTGTACCACTTGTAGAGGCTTTCCACTTCATTACCAATGTATACCTATGAGGCCAGAAGGTACACTGGAACTGACTTTTTACTAATGAGGACAAAAAAAAGTTAGAACTCATTTTATGTTATTCCAATAACATTACTCTTTTATTTTGAGCTAGGGTCTCACTAAGTTGCTGAGGTTTGTCTCTAACTTGTGATCCTCCTGCCTCAGCCTCCTGAATTGCTGGGATTACAGGTATATGCCACTGCACCTGGCTAAAATAGGAATTTTCAAAATACACAGGAGACAGTGCATAAGAATTTGGAAAAGCCAGTTAGCAGAATCAAAAACTAGAGCTAGAGCAGGCACGGTGGCACATGCCTATAATCCCAGTGGCTTGGGAGGCTAAAGCAGGATTGTGAATTCAAAATCAGTCTCAGCAATTTAGCAAGGCCCTAAGCAACTTAGTGAGACTCTGTCTCTAAATAGAAATCCTGGGTTAAAAAAAGGTGTGTGTGTGGGGTGGTGCTGAGGGGTGTAGTTCAGTAGTAGAACACTACTGGGTGCAATCCCCAGCTCTTTGACCTGAAAATAACACTTCTAGAAATCATAAGGAAAGGATACACAAGACAGTTAATATGTAAAAATGGTTACCATCAGAATAAAAAGTTGCTAATGTTCATCAATTGAGAAACTATGAACTTATTCTGAACCAAGCTTATCATAAACCAGGTATTATTCTACAGAGATCCAATGTTATCAAGACAGACAAGGTCCCTGATGTTATGGAGCTTATATTCCACTGGAAGGAGACAAACAGGCATGAAAAATTATACCAGGGAGTGAATGATAAATGTAATTTAGAAACATAAGTGAGGTAAAGTGGTAAGAGAATAAGGAGTATCACTTCTGCACTGAAGAGGGAAGGTGAAACTTAAGTTGATATCTAATCGTAACAAGCCGGACGAGTGAAATCTGGGGGTAGTTTTTAGACCAAAGAGCCAGAGAGACTCAAAGGCCCTGAAGAAAGCATAAATCTCTGTTTTTACTACAGTGTTAGTAGAGATAAGAGAGAGCATGAAATGAGATGTGGGCAAATAAGCTGGGAAGACACATATATTACACTCTGCAAATCAGTGTAAAAGCCTTGGATTTTAACCTAAGTGTGATTAAAACCCATTGGAGGGTCTCAAAGGAACAGCTATGATGGACTTTACATTTTAAACTATTATTCAAGCTGCTTCGTGGAGAATGGATTTATCAGGGTGAGAGGTGAGATTTTAGAAGCAAGGAGTGTTCTGAACTATTACAGTAAGAAATGATGATATCTGACAATTTAAAACATACAAAGAGTTATTCACACCCAACAATAAAAAGACAAACTTTACCCAAGTAAGAAATTAGGAAGAGAATTTGAACATTTCTCCAAAGAAGATATGTAGCCAAAAAGAAAAGATGTTCAACATCATTCAATCATCAGGAAATGCAAACCACAATAAGGGATTATCTCATACCCACTACAGTGGCTATCATCAAGCACAGAGATAATAAGAAGTGTTGAAGAGGACATAAAGAAAGAACTCTTTCCCATGAACTTTGGAAAAATTTGGCAGTTTCTCAAAAAGTTGAACAGAGTAATCATGAGTCAACAATTCTACATGTACCCCAAAGAACTGAAAATATGCTCATAAAATTTTATGTAAAAATTTTCATAGCAGTATTATTCAAAATAGCTCCAAAAAGAATTCCTTTTATCAACTGATGAATTGATATTGTATAATAGGTATACTATGCATAAAATGGATTGTTCAGCTGTAAAAAGAAATGAAGTACTGGTATATGCGGCAACTTGGATGAACCTTGAAAACACTATGCTAAATAAAAGAAGCCATAGATAAAAGACTATACATAGTATAATTCTGTATATATGAAATGCCCAAAATAGACAAATCAATGGAGACAGAAAGCTTATTGGCTGCTAGGGCTGGGAAAATTGAGAGTACAGAGTTTGTTTTGGGGGTGATGGAAATGTCCTAAAATTGATTATGCTGACAGTTGCATAGCAGTTAATATATTAAAAACATAAACTTTTTACTTGTACACTTCAAAAGGGGAGCTGTATGTCATGAGAATTATATCTAAATAAGGTTTTATTAGAAAAAAGAAAATATTCACAGCAACATAATTTTTAATAGCTCCAAACTGGAAACAAACTGGGAAAATACACATCATACTCTGCAAACTAGAGTAAAAGGTTTGAACATAAAGATTCATCAGTAGTAGAATGAATTAACAGATTATAGTATATCCACTCAATGAAATGTAACCTAGCTATCACTACACATAATAATGTAGATTCAGCTCACAAACAAAACATTGAACAAAAAGCCCAACCAGCCAGAGCTAAGTGTAGCTCAATGATAAGAGTGCTTGCCTAGGATGTACAAGATCCAAGATTTGGTATCTAGCACAGCAAAAAAGAGAGAAAATCCTTTTTTCCCCATTACCTACAATTCATTTTATTTCAAATCAAAGCAAAAAAGCTACTGAGATTAAAAAATAACTTAAGGGGAAATACTGGAGAATGATACTAGCCAAATTATACTTTTACATTGTATGAATATATGACTATGTAACAATAAATCCCGCAATTATGTATAACTATAATGTACCAATAAGAAAAATATGGATAGAAAAGTAATTGAGGGGGCTGGGGATGTGGCTCAAGCGGTAGCACGCTTGCCTGGCATGCGTGCGGCCCGGGTTCGATCCTCAGCACTACATATAAAGATGTTGTGTCCGCCGAAAACTAAAAAAATAAATAAATAAATATTAAAAAATTCTCTTTCTTGCTCTCTATTAAAAAAAAAAAAAGTAATTGAGCTGAACCTAGGGGCATACGCCTATGATCCCAGCTACCAGATACGTGGAGGCCTGAGGAGGTAGGATCTAAGTTTGAGGCCAGCCTGGGCAAGATCCTGACTCAAAAAAAAGAAAAAGAAAGAAAGAAAAAATGCCTGACTTGGCCATTACTTACCATATAATAGCCAGTATGATAGCCACTCATATACCAAGAGATTAACATGCTTCCCAAAGCATCAGCATCATCAGAATCTGGACATATAGGAGGTGGTGGGGGAATTATCTGAAAGGGAAAAAGATTTTTAATTCAGCAAACAAAAATATGTTTTACACAGAGGATGCTGGGTATTAATTGTATCTTCTCCAACATATCATGGCATGTCCTATTTAAGTTTTGTTTTTATTTTTGAATCTAATACCTGGAAAAAGTTAACAGTAATAAAAAGACCAAAATTAAATTTAACAAAGATCAAAAGATACTAGGCCTGGCCTAGGGTGGTAGCACAATGGTAGAGCAGTTGCCTAGCATGTATAAGGCACTGGGTTCAGTTCTTAGCACCGTATATACATAAATAAAAATAAAGGTCCATTGTCAGCTAAAAAAAATATTTAAAAATTTAAAAAGATACTATGCAATTCAAAATATTAGATGTTCTAATTTGATTAGACTATTTTTCTGTTTCATTATGAAGATATGAGTAGAAAGACCAAGCACAAATACCTTATTTTCCCTACACACACATACACAGTACTTCATGACCATTTTAAGTAAAGGTCTTAGGTAGAATATTTGCCCTATCCCTACCCCAAAACAGTCTGCCAAACTCTATTTATATCTATTGTTAACACCTAAATATCATCATCAGAAATAAGTTACATGATCAAAAGCTAATATCCAAAGTATATCCAAGGGGTATAAAACAATCAACGTCTTATATGTGGTGTAATTGAGTCCTTTCTTTCTTTTCCTTTTTTTGGTGGAGTTATACCTCCAGTCCTAACTATGTCCTTTTTCCCTTTTTTGGAAGTACTAGAGATTAAACCCAGGGGTACTTTACTACAGAGCTATAGCCTGCCTGCTGACACACACCTTTTAAAAATATTTATTTAGTTATAGATGGACACAATACCTTTATTTTATTTATTTTTATGTGGTGCTGAGGATTGAACCCAGCACCTCACACATGCGAAGCAAGTGCTCCACCACTGAGCTACAACCTCAGCCTCTCCTCCATTTTTTTATGTTTTATTTTGAGACAGGGTTTCATTAAGTTACCCAGACTGTGCTTGAGCTTTCTATCCCTGGGCCTCAGCCTGCTATGTAACTGGGGGAAGGCACAGAGGTTCTTCCTATTAGGAACTACCTCATATAAAAAGATACCAACTTTTGCCAGGAAAAAACAGGCAATACATATAGTTCAGAATTGGGGTTCTGAGAACACTGTCTGAGTAACAGAAGGGAATTCAAAATGAAAACTGAGGTTTAGTTCAAATCTTTTCCCATTATTCTGTGGCCCAAGGAATGATCTAAGATGATAATTCCTAATCCCCTATATTCTGCTAAATTCCAAACTATATATAAAATCAAAATTTAATATGAATTCTTTTGTACTTACTGGTGGTCCAGAAGGAAATGGAGGTAGCCAACATGATAGGAAGTGGGGTGGTGGAGGTGGTGGTGGTGGGCCACTGAATTTTAGACCTGGCTATAAAGAATGTTTCAAAGGAAAATTAATTTACTAATTTCAATGAAGGGAAAGAACTGAAACCCAAAAGAAAAAAAAATAATTACCCAGAATAATACTGTATCATACATATCAAAAAGATTAAGTGGAATTTCATGTACTAAATCCTACAGTCAAAGAGACCTATAAGTCAAATAATAATCTCTAGATTTTTCTCATTTCTTTTCTGTGTAAACATTAAGGAAATAAAATCAAAGTAAGGAAGATTTTTAAATACCTAATGAATCAAAGACAGTGCATTCAGCAAGCTATTTTAATTATAAAAGATTATATACTCTCCCCTACTTCTATTAACTACATTATATAATCTTTTTTATGAAGCCCTGTCATATATGCTTAGAGCACATACTGTAAAAATTAGCAAAACCTCTCATCTAACAAAAATCAGCCCCAAGACTAAAGACGCATAATTTTAAGAGCTTTGATCATTTTATGTTCAAGAACCTCTAATACAGTGTTAACTCAATAAAAAAAGCTATCATGAAAAATCTTAAGGAGAATCTTGATTTTTAAGTTATTATCAGAATACCACACTCTTTCACAAAGAACTAGATAGGGACATCACTTGGGTTCTGAAACAGCTTACCCTATAATAAGACCTTTTTTTTTTTTTTTTGGTACTGGGGACTGAATCTAGTCTCATAGGGCACTCTGCCACTGAGCTACATACATCATCCTAGCCCTTTGTATTTTATTTTTTAAGTTTTGAGACAGGGTCTTGGGGCTGGGGTTGTGGCTCACCGGTAGAGTACTCCTCTCTCATGTGTGAGGAACTGGGTTCAATCCTCAGCACCACATAAATAAAATAAAAAGGTATTTGTCCACCTACAACTAAAAAATATTTAAAAAAAAAAAAAACGAGACAAGGTCTTGCTAAGTTGCCCAGCTGGCCTTGAACTTATGATTCTTCTGCAAGAGCCTCCTGAGTCACTTAGATTACAGGCATTTGCCACCATACCTGGCATAAAAATAATTTTCATTTAAAATGATTAATTTCTGTCGGGCTCAGTGGTGCATGTTTATAATCCCAATGACTTGGGAATCTGAGGCAGGAGGATTGCAAGTTCAAAGCCAGCCTGAAAGAGCCACAAATAAAAATAGTGTAAATCCACAAAACAATCTGAGGACTCCTCAAAATTTTATCCATATTAGATGTAAAAACTGTATTCTTCCCCCCCCCCCAAATATCTGATATGGGTAACACATGGAACTATATATAGCATATTGTCCAGGTGATGACAGAATATTATTCTTATATTGTACATATAATAATATATATCTTTTTTTTTTTTTTTTTTTTTTTTTTGGTGGTGCTGGGGATTGAATCCAGGGCCTTGTACATGCGAGGAAAGCACTGTACCAACTGAGCTATATCCCCAGCCCTATATCTTCTAACTTCTAAGAAACTAAATTATTAAGTCTAATACCTACTACTCCACAAAAGTAGTTTGGTAGGTCTTTCAATATGAACCATTTTGCATCATTTTCTTTTCAAAAAATTCTCACCTGTGTAAGTCTAACATCTAAAGAGAGCTATCAAAGTTTCACAGGGAAACTACTCAATGGAGGAGTTAATTTCCAATATAAATTATTTCTGGAAACCTTTTCTGGATAATAGGTTTACCTTTCCTGGTCCCAATCCTGACCCTGGCATTGTGGGTGGTGGAGGGAGAAAACAGTCCCATGGAGTTGCTTTTGACTTGATGTTATTTGGTTTATTTCCAGGAGACCTAGAGGAGTTTTCACTTTCATCTGTTGAAACTTGACTTTCATTTTCATTCTTTAAAAAGAAAAAAAAAATTGTGTTATATGAAAATGACACCTACGGTCCCAGCTACTTGGGAGGCTGGGGGCAGGAGGATCACCTGAGCCCAGGTGATCAGTCTGGGCAGCACAGGGAGGCCCTATGTAAAATAAATAAATAAATAAAAGAGAAAGAAATAATGTCTCTGGGGCTGGGGACGTGGCTCAACCGGTAGCGCGCTCGCCTGGCATGCGTGTGGCCCGGGTTCGATCCTCAGCACCACATACAAAGATGTTGTGTCCGCCAATAACTAAAAAATAAATATTAAAAAATTCTCAAAAAAAAAGAGAAAGAAATAATGTCTCAGTGGATCAAATGGATAACTTGGTATGCAGTTACTCCTTTTTGTTTTTTTTAAAGGATGGGGTCTTGCTATGTTGCCCAGGTGGTTGTTGCAGCTGGACTCAAGTGATCATCCATCTCAGCTTCCTGAATAGCTGAGATTAGAGGCATGCACCCTACCCAGCTCAGGAACCGAAATTTTTTGTATCCTTACCTCCTGAGTATTCTGTTCTATATTATTAGCTACTTCAGAGGTTGGGGAAAGCAGATCAGACAGATTTTGCTCCTCTCTATTTCCATATCCAGTGTAAATCACAATACAGGTTTCTCTCTTAAAATCAACTGAAGCAATGGTAGCTGGGTAAATACAGCCATCTTCTGACCAAATGGCAGAACACTTATCACCAACTTTCCACTACAAATGAAAGATATGCACACAAATACACATACAATTATTTCTTGAAAGAGAGTAAACTGTAATCTTATTTAGATGGGGTGGGGGTGACAGGTATAGTGGACAGTCTCTAATTAATACGTTTGGAAGGCAGAAAGAGAAAAAGGCTTAGGACTAAATCCATGCAAATCTGAATTCCAGCTTTTGCATTTATATAATCATGGACAATGTTCTTAAACACTTTTGAGTCATCTTTTACCTGTCTATAGACTGGCTATAATACAGTTTACCTCCATATTTGATGTGAAGAGAAGCAGGAAAAGTATATTAAATGCCCAGCACCAGCCCAGCTCTGTGCCTGCCACAGAGCCACGTTAACTCTCTTCTCCCTTGGTAATGATGAATTTAAGGTTGACTAAGGAGACAGCTTCCAAGTCAACTGTTTCTAATTAACAGAAACTACTTTAATCCAGAATTTTTGGCTGTCTGGAATTAGCAATTTTAGTGTTTTTGAAAAACAAAAAGGATATCCATCTCAGTTTAAGAAATAAACACTGCTGATTCAGTATAAGGCCCTCAAACAGCATCATCACCTTTCCTCTATTCCATCCTCAAAGTAAATCTTGTCCTGATCTTTTTTTTTTGGTAGCAGGGATTGAACTCAGAGGCACTCAACCACTAAGTCACTTCCCCAGCCCTATTTTGAATTTTATTTAGAGACAGAGTCTCATTGAGTTGCTTAGAGCCTCACCATTGCTGAGGCTGGCTTTGAACTCACAATCCTCCTGGCTGGCTTTAAACTCACAATCCTCCCGTCTCAGCTTCCCAAGCCACTTACACTTCCCCAGACCTATTTTGTATTTTATTTAGAGACAAGAGTCTCACTGAGTTGCTTAGCGCCTCGCCATTGCTGAGGCTGGCTTTGAACTCACAAACCTCCCGTCTCAGCCTCCCAAGCCGCTGAGATTACAGGCATGTGCCACCATACCCGGCTTTTGTCCTGATCTTAATATTTGTCAATCCTAACTAATATTCCCTATACTTTTATTATTAACATGAACATTCCTACATAACAGAAAGTTTAATAGTCATTTTAAAAGTTGCAAGATCACATGTCAATAGAAAACACTGAACAAATTAATCATTTAAGTTAAAGGTATTTGACACTATTCAATAAGAACAGAAGAAATTCTTTGAAGTTAAATTTCAAAGTTTTAAAACAACCTGTTTCAAGGGAGTTGTAGTATTCTTCTTCTGGCTTTTATTCTTCTTAACAGGTTTTCGCCTAGGTGTGCCCTTTGGTTTATCTGAAGTTTCACAAATGTCACCATTCTTTAGAGCATGCTATGAAAATAGAAATAAAAATGTACACATTATAGAGTGATACATTTAAAAATGTCAGAGTATAACTCAGTTTCTACTATAAGCTGGTCTCAAGGCTCATCACCTCGAAAGCCTATATTCCTCTTTTCATTGTCTCACATTCTACAGGAACTGCCCATGAAGATGGTGTCCACCTGAATACCAGCTCTAAGGACTCCCAAATCAAGTCTCCATGCTCTCAGCCTCTGTAACAATAGACAGTTACTATTACAATTGATCACCTCCTTCTTCTTGATATTCATGATAATTTAGATGACACAAAAATGTAAGGCCCCGGGGCTGGGTTGTGGCTCAGGGGTAGAACACTCACCTAGCACGTGTGGGGCTGTGGGTTCGAACCTCAGCACCACATAAAAATAAATAAATAAAATGAAGGTATTGGGTTCAACTACAACTAAAAAATAAATACTAAAAAAATTATAAAAAAAAATAAGGCCCCAATGCTTTAGTTATTTCTCTAACCAAGTCTTACACTTACACGTTCCCAACAGGAATTGGCTGTCCGTCTTTATTTGCTCAAGGTAATTGATTCCCATTAGTTCAATTATAATGCTTCCAAAGCTACTATCCAGGTCTGAATTTTCTCCTTAGTTTAACCCAAAATTTTGAATTATCAATTTCACATTTTCACACTCAAAGTGAATAAACCTAATTACCTTTTCCCCAACCAGTTCTTTTCCTCCTTTACTCAGACTAATTCACCCTTCAATATGATCAACCCTATCCCACATTAAGCCCCATTTCAATCTGTATTTTACAGAACTCTTAGTAACTCTTTCTGAGCCAACTTCTAGTTTCATTGTATAATGGAAGGCATTAAAATATCTAGAATTTGGATACAAAGATGACACATGACCTGATCCTTAACTCATGTTACAAGTGTAATTATGGAAAGAAGTGGACTCTCTCTGTCTGGTGCTTTGCATAAATATATGTTCTGTGTGCTCATTCTAAACAGGATGATGGATAACCAACAAACACTTGATGCTCAATAAGACTAAATATTTTGAACAGTGAAGAAAATGAAGATGTTAAACATTTATATAAACTTCTTATTTCAGCCACAGAACCAGACTTTACCTCCTAAAAAACGTGTATAATCCTACATCAGGAACACTTAACTTGACACCCAACTCATGGGATTTGGAAGGATTAATTTAATTGGGGCTAGGGATGTAGCTTAGTGGTAGAGTGTTTATCTAGCAGGCACCAAGCCCTGGATTCAATCCCCAGTACTTAACAAAACAAAACAAAACAAAAACAACACCACTAACAAAAAAACCCCAAACCCCAAATACCAAAATATGTAAAGCACAATGCATAGAATTTTGTTATACTCTATAGTTATTTATTATTAATTATTGTACTACTGCTATTTATATCATCATTATTTCACTAAAAGCTTATTAATTGTTTAAAAATGTAATTCAGACTGTCCTTTTCCTACTTATCTGAACTAGAGGACATCTTACTTTTTCTTTCTTTTCTTCCCTTCCTCACTTTTTTCTTCCCTCCTCCCTCCCTCCCTCCCTCTCCCCCCACCTTTTTTTTCCCCCAGTACTGGGGATAAAACCCAGAGGTGCTATTACTACTGAGCTACACCCCAGCCTTTTTATTTCTTATTTTGGAACAGGGTCTCACTAAGTTCTTAGGCTGCCCTTGAACTTGGGATCTTCCTGCCTCAAACTCCTAAGTGGTTGGGAGTAAAGACATGTGCCACCATGCCTGGATAAATTAGAGGATATCTATAGTTTGATATGATGTAAAAGTATTAAAAAAAATAAATGTTTAAAATACTGAAATTGCTTTTGCAAAAGGAATGACATGCAGATATGCTATCAACTTCTAAAGGATGATTAACTCACCCATATTTTATTTATTTATTTTCATGTACTGGGAATTAAACCCAGGGGTGTTCTATCACTGAGCTACAGTGCAATTTTTTATTTGAGCTCGGTGTGGTGGTCCACTCCCCAGCAGAGCTGGAGGTGAGACAGGAGGATTGCAAGTTCAAAGCCAGCCTCAGCAACAGCAAGGCACTAAGCAAATCTAAATAAAATACAAAATAGGGCTGGGGATATGGCTCAGTGGTTTAGTGCCCCTGAGTTCAATTCCTGATATCCCTCCCAAAGGCAAGGTATTGCTAAATTGCTAAGGCTGGCCTTGAACCTGCCTCAGGATGAGCCAGTGGGATCACGGGCATGTTCTACCACACCTGGCTAACCCATGTTATTATCTAAGCTTCAAAATGAAAACAAAATAATATGTACTTCAATGTCTTACTGTTACCAATTATTTTTTCCAAATGAATAACATGAAGGAATAGGGAAAAATAAACATTTCATACCTTAAAGGAAGCCACAGCTTTATCATAAGCTTTAATCAATGCTGTATCATCCCAAATGTCAGAATCATCACTCTGGGAAGGGAAAGGAATAGAAACAATTCATGTTCAGATACACTTTATCAAAAATGTATGTTAGGGGCTAGAGATATAGCTCAGTTGGTAGAGAGTGCTTGCCTTACATACATAAGGCCCTGGGTTTAATCCCCAGCACCACAAAAATAAATACATGGTTATCAGAAGCTATTTACAAAAAAAAAAAAAAAAAAAGTATGTTAGTACCAAGAGCCATCTTAATCCAGACTTAATCAAGCATATATGAAGAACTCTCAAACCTCAATAAAAAGAAAACAATCCAATATAAAAAAAAGGGTAAAAGACCTGAACTGAAGAAGATATGTGGATAGCAAATAAGCACATAAAACAAAGATCAACATCATTAGTTATTAGGAAAATACTCATTAAAATCCTAAGATACTACTATACATCTATTACCACATCTAAAATTAGAAAGACGGACTATAGGGCTGGGGTTGGTGGTAGAGCACTCTCCTAGCATGTGTGAGGCACTGGGTTCAATCCTCAGCACCACATAAAAGAATAAATAAATAAAAGTATTGTGTCCATCTACAACTAAATATATATATATATATATAAAAGCTCTACTATACCAAATGTTTGCAAGGATAAGGAGCAAATGGAACTTTCATACACTGCTGAATAGAATGTAAAATGATACATACACTTTGAAGAGTGTGGCAACTTCTAAAAGACTTAAAATAATCTACCCCATGTCCAAAAAGAAAATGAAAGCATTTGTTCCTAAAATTAATTATACCAATATTCATGGGAAATCTAAAACAGTCCCAAAATGGAAACAACCCAAATGTTCATGAACAAGTGAATGGAAAAAGTACAACATACACACACAGTGGGATACTACTTAGCAATAAAATAAGATAAACTGACATACACAAAATGGATGAAAATCAAAACAGCTATAAAAGATACTGTATGATTTCATGTTTATAAACTTCTAAAAAATTCAGACTAATCTGTGGTGACAGAAAGTAGATCAGTGAAGGGAGGAAAAAAAGTAAATCATGGGCTGGGGTTGTGGCTCAGCAGTAGAGTGCTCGCCTAGCATGTGCAAGGACCTGGGTTCCATCCTCAGCACCACAAAATAAATAAATAAATAAATTAAATATATTAAAATTAAATTAAAAGATAAATATTTTTTTTAAAAAAGTAAATCAGTGGCTGGGGATAAAAGAAAAGGAGGAATGGAAGGAGAGCATCATAAAGGTGGAATCCAATTGCTCCAAGGCCACCATGCTATAAGGAAATCCAAACCAATCTACACATTGAGACCACATGGAGATATCCTGGAACTACATGAAGAAATGCTCTGCTGCTCCCTAGCTGCCCAGTCCCCTGCTACATACATATGTAGCTCTCGCAAATGTATGTATGCTACCACATGAGAGCACTGAACAAGAACTGCCTAGCAAATTCCTGACCCACAAAAACCCTGAGTGGTTCAAACAAATCATTACTACCATTAAGCCACTAAGTTTGAGTGATTTATCACACAGCAATCCAGAAGATTAGGTAACTCTCAGTAGCTCTAAAGTTATTCCTCTGTCCTGCCATCTTTTATTACTTCTCAACTCCTGGAACTTCAACTGTGCTCTCTTGAGCAATTAGTTAAAAAAAAAGCAACCTCTTCTATGAAGTTCCCATCATCTTGCTCTAACCAAAATCTGCCTTTCCCTGAGGATGCCACTTTCCTTGAAGCAATCTCAAAAGGCAGATATTTTCTCTTCCATACTCTTCATAGCCCTACACCAAAGGTGGGGAAGAATCTTCCTTGTTTCTTACTTCCATTTTCAGATTACTCTCCTTCCCATCTCTCTAAAACATTCCCAGTCCACTGGGCGCAATTGCATATCTGTAATCCCAGTTAATTGGGAGGCTGAGGCAGAGTAATCACAAGTTCAAGGCCACTCTCAGCAGCTCAGAGAGACCCTGACTCAAAAAGGGCTGAGGATGAGTAACTCAGTGGTAAAGCACCTCAGGGTTCAACTCCCATACCCTGCCCTCAAAAAAATTCTGTCATCAGTCTGCAGTTGCAGTCATCTACAACCTCCTGGGTCACTCTTCCTCATTCTTTAAAGTTTACATGTCAGCATTCTAACACTAGTCCTGTCAGAATTTTTGGTGACTTAAACAAAGATGTAAATTATCCTTCCAATATCCTCTGAGTCTTTAAACTCCTCTGCCAACAAGGTTGGACATCCTCAAAGTCAGCTACTCACTTTTATGGGCTTTGTTTATCATGAATAATAACTAAAACCTATCCATAAATTCAATTTCAAGAATCCCACACCCTAATAACCACCCTCTAAGATCTGCAATTTATTACTTCTAGTAGCCTGATGACAATCATTTATCTTCACTGAGACTGGCAATCCTCACAATTTTTAACTGTCTCTCAGCATTTTAATGTCCTCACTTCCTTTTCTAGCCAGCCTAAATTGTATGGTCCATCATTAAGATAACCCAAGGGGAGGGGGGCGCCTGGGGTTGTGGCTCAGTGCAGAGCACTTGCTCGCAAATGTGAGGCACTGGGTTCAATCCTCAGCACCACATTAAACAAACAAACAAACAGATATTTTTTTAAAAAGGATAACCCATATGTACCTCTCTCTCATTTTTTTGATTTTTTTGTACTGCTGGGTATTGAACTCAGTGCCTCACTCACACTAAGCAAGCGCTGGACCACTGAGTGAGCCCTCCCCTCACTTCTTATCTACTTGGCAAAATTATAATACTGCTAATTTCAACTCTTGGCTTATTCTATGCCTTCGCTCACTCACCTGAACTTAACTGGAGAAAAATACAATCATGTCTGACCTCCTACAGCTCACAACCCCAAATCTCAAGTAAGCCTTCATGATGCTTAGCCATTTGTAAATTTTCCTCCTCCAACACTGATCCCCTCTCCTAGGGAACTACTTCCTGTCTTTTCATATTTCAAACCTTCAACACCTCCTCCCCCCTCCTTCCATCCAGCTGATGACCTTGCCTCTTTCTCTAAGAGAACGGCAAAAATCAAAAGAAAACTTTAACAATCTCCTGCTACCATGTCTGCTCTTTCAGAGATCTGTAATCCAAATAACTTTCACTACTGTCAATGCTTCTAAGAAAGGTTAAATTCATCCCTCTCACCTACTTTACCTATTGCTCCAGAATTCTCTTCTCTTCACGAATAATTAATTTTTCCAACTTTGCTGAATCTTTCCAATCATAGCCCATAAAGAAACTGAAGCATGTGGCTTGCATCTTAAAAACAAATACCACAATTTTAAATCTTCTTTACCTCATACCCTCCCTCATCTATTGCCCACTTGCTCTAACTTCTACTTATAATAAAATTCCTTTAAGTATTTGTCTTTTCCCACGCTCAACTTCAATCAGATTTCACCATGTCATGACCTAGACTGAGCTATGGGATCTTCCCTCTTCCCCATCTCAGTGCATCTCAGTAAATGGCAACTTTGCTTTTCGACTGCTCAAGATAATTTCAGTGTCACCCTTGACTTTTTTCTCTTAAAACATTCTTATCGAATCCACCTGAAAATCCTGGTCTCTCTGATGACAAAGTATATCTAGAACCCAAAACCTTTAGTTTAAATCCACTGCTAACACGCCGATCTAGGTCTGGATCATTTCAATAAACTCCTACCAGGTTTCCCTGCTCCCCTTTGACCCTGACCACCCTCCACCCAGGTCAGGAACCAGTAGACAAATCAAGATGCAGTATGGCCTCGCCTCAAAGCCATCAAAGCCCCCGACTGCGCACGGAAGGGGCCTGTGGATGGGGCTCACTAGTAGGGGAGTGGGGAAAGATGTAAAGCAGGACCTTAGCACCCGCGAACAGACCGGTCAGGTCCTGCCCGGAGGCCAACGCTACCAGCACGCACTGGGCGCATGTACCGAGGCTCCGCGGACCGTGACCTCACCTGGCCTGTGCCGCGCCGGAACAGCACCGAGTCTTCCTGCTCAGGGACGCCGCTGCTACCTCCACCTGGACCCATCGCCATGGCGAGCTTTCTGGAGGACGGACGGCGTGGGGTGCAGACCCAAGAGTGACGACTTCCGCCGCGGGGGCTTCTGGGACAGGAAGAGCACCGTGTCCCGGAGGGCGGCTTGGGCGACTCTTCAAGCTGGCTTTGAATTGTTACCGCCCTCCCGGTTGGTCGCGTGGGTGATTCTTTCCTCTCTCTGCCAACTCTTTGATTTCGCTTTGTTGTATTTTTGTAAAGTGATTCCATCAGTGTTTCTTTCTTTCTTTTTTGGTACCAGAGATTGAACCGAGGGACACTTAACCACTGAGCCACAGCCCAGCCCTTATTTTTTAATTTGCGACCCTAAAGTTGCTTAGGGCCTCACTTAGCTGCTGGAGTTGACGGCTCCCGTCAGGGTTTTGTGTTTTGCCTTGTTTTAAACAATGAACTCTCAGAAATGTTAATGGAAGGTAATTAAGAAAATGAGGGTCAGCAGCCCGGCGTGGTGGCGGCGCACTCCTGTAATCAATCCCAGCGAGTCAAGAGGCTGAGGCAGGAGCATCTCAAGTTCAAGCTAGCCTCAGCAGTTTAAGGAGGACTTAAGCAATTCGGTGAAACCCTGTCTCAAAATAAAAAGGACTGGGGATGTGGCTCTGTGGTACATGGGTTAAATCCTTGTTTCAAAAATATAAACATTTTATTTTGTTTTTTAGTTGTAGATGGACACAATACCTTCATTTTATTTTGTATGGTGTCGCGGATTGAACCCAGTACCTCACGCATGCTAGGCAAGTGCTCCACCACTGAGCCACAACTTAGGCCCGACAAGTTTTCTTTGTTTTGTTTTGTTTTTAAAGCGGGCTATAGGGCTGGGGTTGGAGCTCGGTGGTAGAGCTCTTGCCTAGCATGTCTGAGGCACTGGGTTCCATTCTTAGCACTGCATATAAATAAATAAATAAAAGGTCCATCAACAACTAAAAATATATTCTTTTAAAAAAGTGGGCTGGAATGTAGCTCCGTGTTAAAAAAGCGCTTGCCTTTCTTGCGCAAAGCGATCCTGGGCTCCAAAATTAAAAAGTTAAAAAAAAAAAAAAAAAGTAGAATCAACTGGGGAGGCTGAGGCAGGAGATTGGCAGGTTCAAGGCCAGCCTCAGCAATTTACCAAAAACCTGTCTCAAAAGTAAAAAAGCTGGGCGCCAGCCTGTAATCCCAGTGACTGGGAAAGCTGAGGCAGGAGGATCATAAGTTCCAGCCAGCCTTCACCTCAGCAACTTAGGGATATCCTGTCTCCTATAATAAAAAAAATCAAAAGGACTGGGGTTGTAGTTCAGTGATAGAGAGCCCATGGGTTCAATCCCCAGTTTCCCCCTATAAAATACTGTATAGATTATCTTGAGCTAGCTTTGCTATCAACATAAACTGGATACATTTTATCTTCCCACAGTGTCAGAATAAATTTACAAGTTACATTAATTTCATCCACTTCAATTCACAGAAACATAGTTCACTTGGTGTTGTGACTGAGGGTATAACAGGTTCTTTTATTCCATTCCAATCTTAATTACTAACAACTAAAACATTGACGTCACACATCACACTTTACAGGATATATAAGTTACAGAATGGCTAAGAAAGGCTCAGAGAAGCCAGGTGTAGTGGCACACATCTCTAATCTCAGCTACTTGGGAGGCTGAGGCAGGAGAATCACAGATTTAAAGCCAGCCTCAGCAATTCAGTGGGACTGTCTCAAAAAAAAAAAAAAAAGGGCTGGGAATGTAGTGCATCCTCTAGGTTCAATCAAAAAAAAAAAAAAAAAAGTGGGGAATGGGTTCTGGTATAGTGGCTCAGCGGTAGAGCACTCGCCTGGCATGTGCAAGGCACTGGGTTTGATTCTCAGCACCACATAAAAGTAAACAAAGGTATTGTGTCCAACTACAATTCAGAAAAATAAAATTTTAAAAAGGTTTAGGGGATCACAGAGTTTTAAGAGGCAGTTCCAAGAACAAAGGCAAAGACCAGATACAAATGCAAGCGATCAGAAAAGTTTCTAATCAGGAACCAGCCAAAAAACTTACTGGTGTGTGAGAGCTGTTTGGGGGCATGGAACTGGATCTAGGTGTGGGTATTGACTGTAGGCAGTTCCAAAGTGGGCCATGGCGAGCAGGGGGATCTTGCTGTGCTGGAGCCCTGGGAACAGAATCAGGAGTTCAATGCCTGTTAAACCTCATGAGTTTGTGTGTACCACTGTGTCCAGTCTTAGGGTGTGTCTCCTTTTATGTGTTATGAGGGAGTTACATCTTGTGAGCTCAATAAGCTCCTATATCTGGTGTTTCTGATATGATTTGATATGTCCAAGAGTCCATGTGTTCCTTATTTAATATGGTAAGTAGGCAGGAATAAATTATTAACTGTGCCTTATAGTTGGGCTGAGCAGATGGTGATTGTTTATTTGTATAAAAAAAGTATAGAGTCATTCCACCATGGCACTTGTACTCAAATGGAGGAACTCATGGCAAACTGCTATTTTGTAAAATGGACCACCTTGGGGCTAGATACAGCCTGAAATTGTTGTTCTATATATCATGGAGTAACTCAGACCAGGCAGGACACAGCCTTCTCTCTACATTTTGACTAAGGATCTTTGCCCTCCTACACACCACCATCCTGACTGTCAAAACATATTTTATCTTTACATGGATCAAACAGGTTTTTTATTTTTATTTTTTAATCAAACAGGTTTTAAATTCTTTATAAGAACTTACCATTCACTTTTCTAGTATCTTGTTTGTTTTGTTTCTGGGCATTGAACCTGGGGCCTGGAACCTGCTAAGTACTTGTTGACCACTAAGCTACAACTGCAGCAGGAATCAAACTCACAGCATTGTGCTCTACCACTGAGTTACAACCAAGCCAAAGTATTTATTAATGTTCTGAGTTTATCAAATTCCTTTCATGCACATAATGTGTGTCTGTGTTCTCATGAACTACTAGAGATTTACCCCAAGGGCACTTTATCACTGAGTTAACCCCCAGCCCTACTCTCTAAATTGCATAACTGGCCTCGTATTCTCAAATTTGTGATCCTCTTGCCTGAGCCTCCATAGTCTGTGGAACTGCAGGTATGCACTGCCAGATCTGGCTATACATTTTTTTTTAAATCCAGCAAAGGAAGTTCAAGGGATCCTCCCTAAATGTCTTTGATTTCTATATGTATTCAAAATACCAGGGTTAGGCATGTAGCTCAGTGGTAGGGCACATGGTTGGCATGTGTGAGGCCCTAGTGTACACACACATGCACACACAGAATTGGGGGAAAGAAGAATGCGTGATATTGGTCAAAGAGTACAAATATAGTAACTGTAGTGGTTACGTTTACCTAGAATGTGGTGATAATTTCAGGATGCATATCAAAATATCAATTTGTACATAGTAAATATACGTATTTTTCCCAGGCATGGTGCACATGCCTGTAACCCCAGTGACTCTGGAGGCTGAGGTAGGAAGACTGCAAGTTTGAGGGTATCCTGGGCAATTTAGTGACACTAGTGACACCCTATTTCTTTTTTTTTTTTTAATTTTTTTAAAGAGAGAGAGAAAGAGAGAGAATTTTAATATTTATTTTTTAGTTTTCGGCAGACACAACATCTTTGTTTGTATGTGGTGCTGAGGATCGAACCCGGGCCGCACGCATGCCAGGCGAGCGCGCTACCGCTTGAGCCACATCCCCAGCCCCAATGACACCCTATTTCAAGACAAAAAAATAAAAAGGCTTCTCTCTCTATTTCCTGGCTGCTATGTCCTGAGCACTTTTCCACCCACATGCCCTTCCACCATTGATGTTCTGCCTCTCCTCAGGTCCAGAACTATGGACCATGGACTGAACCTCTGAAACCATGATCCAAAATAAACTTTTCCTCTTAAAAAAATACACACACACACACACACACACACACACACACACACACATATATATATATATATATATATATATATGATGGAAATAAGTATCTCATGTGGAGATTTATGAGATAGGATATATATATATATATATATATATATATATATATATATATATCCAGATATGGTGGCATAAATAACTTGAGAGGCTGAGGCAGGAGAATTGCAAGTTCAAAGCCAGCCTCAGCAACTTAATGAGACCTAAGAAACTTAGTGAGACCTTGTCTCAAATAAATAAAAAGAGCTGGGGTTGTGGCTCAGTGGTAAAGTGCTCCTGGGTTGATCCTCAGTACCCCCCCACACAGTGTGTGTGTGTGTGTGTGTGCATGCATAATTCTTTTGGAGTTGGGTGTTTCAACCTAGGATCTCATGCATCTGTACAATTTTATATATGCAAAATTAACTTACCATAAGATAAATAACTGTTTTTGTGGGGGGCTAGGGATCAAACCCAGGGCAGTCTACTATTGAGCTGCACCCCCAGCCCTTTCATTTTTGAGACAGGATCTCACCAAGTTGCTCATGCTGACCTCAAATTTATGATCCTACTGCCTCAGCCTCCCAAGTGACTGGGTTTATAGGCATGTAATCCACTGTGCCTGGCCCAAAACCTTTTCTTCAGTAATTCTTGGAACTTCTCTATGACCAAATAAAAAAGTTTTAAATGATTAGTAATCACATTTCCAATTTGAATAATATATTTTGGAGTTGTCACGTGGGATAAACACATGTGGACGAGATCTATCAGGGGCTTCGCTTTTGTAAATATATTTCTGAGTGTTTGTGCTTTATTATTTGTTAATTATTTAAGATATTAAGATTTAGTGTGGTTTAATTGAGATACTAACACTTAGGGTGGCCGTTTAGCGTGGCTTGGATGCCTCTGTACAGAAAATCCCTCCAATGAGATGCTGGCCGTTTCCCCCGTACCCACCCCCCCAAATGCTTAACTTCTAGAATCAAGGAATTTCAAATTAAAAACTAACCACTTTCTGGGGCTGGGATTGTGGCTCAGGGGTAGAGTGCTCGCCTAGCATGCATGAGGCACTGGGTTCGATTCTCAGCACCACATACAAATAAATTAATTAATTTAAAAAAAACTAACCACTTTCCACTCAGGTTGGTAATATTA